GCCGTTGAGGGTTCGTTTATAGTGGGAGCCTGTCCCCCGTGACACACGTGCCCATCCTCGCGTGCATTCCTGAGCACCTTCCTGGTGCTGCAGGACGCTGCAGGCCAGCCCCGGAGTCAGCCCTTCGTCAAGGAGCCCCGCTTCCTCTAGGGGAGAAGGGGTCAAACCAAGCTCCAGGCGCTCCCTGCTCCTGGGACCAAGGAGAGAGGTTACCACTGAACACTGTTTGTATTAATCTCCTTGGGGGACGAGGGTGACCATTTGCAATACACACCACAAATTTCTGACTTGTTTCTTGAATAAGTACAATGGAGTAAGAAGAGATGATTGATATAGGATAGCAACGACGAATGTGTTTTGAAAGCCACGAAGCTCTGCAAAAGTGTGAGCTCTTGGGATTTTAATCAGCTTACGGTGAGGCCTGGGGCTTCTAGACTTTGGTTCCACAAGTCAGTCTGGCAACACAGAACAGACTGAAAGGAGCTTCGCTGAGAATTTATCTACGATTCCTTTTCATCTTATCTGATGTTTCGCCCTTTTAAAAACTCTGTCAAGTTTATAATGTTGTATCTCTACTTTCATACTGCTTTTGGCCAAAAGTCATAAAGCTAAGAGTTTGGAAAGGATAAAGTTGTTTAATATTTAAAAATAACCACTTGGAACGCTAAAATCTTGGGCTTTAACCTTTCCCCACAAAATCCTTTGTGCCAAGGCTGCAGGCGAGAGCACACAGGATCCGTAACCAGAGGCAGAAATGTGAAACTCGGCGGGCACCGTGCTTACGCGGCTGTGGTGAGAATCACCCCATGGAAACGACTGTGACTCAAAGTGAGTATGAACCAAGTTGACAGCTTTGCCACAAAAGTCTAAAGAGCTTATATGAAAACAGATTATGGAAAATTTTACTGCTCGTCAGTGGATGTCAGGCAGGCCTCGCCAGTGTCAATGGGAATAGTTAGGATGTGACACTGGAAACACACACAGACTTTGGGGATCACTGAGGCCTCAAGGCTCAGGCCACTGACACCTTCACATTCTAAAGACCAACTCAGTCTCACGTCAGCCTTCAAAGATCACCCGAGAAAGACGCAGGCATCGGGAGGAAGGTGGCAGGGTGGAGAATGAGCCTCGTCATCTATGGAAAGGGGGAATAAGACCCACTTTAGAGGGATTAAATGAGTAGCAAAGCAGGAAGCACCTGGCAAGTGCATTTTCAATGTGTTGGTTTTTTCCTAGTTATTTAAAGATAAGTAACATCTGGACCTAAAAACTCAAGGGCCATTTACTCAAGAATTTCGGATAATTTCGGATAACGTAAAAGAAAGATGAAGCAGTTTACAATGGAAGATGTAACCTCCTGCAGGGACTTCACCTGTCGTTCTTGAACTGCTGAAATAATACAGCTCCAACCCCCAACAGCTGTATAATCCCCCTCTTCTACCTGCTGTGGTAGAAACAATTCTCGTTCCAGGTGGGTACCAGGTATCACCTCCTTGTTACAAACTCACTGTACGTTTATCTTTCTAGAGAGACATTCATTTTCTGAAATGGTTCTGCAGAAACTGAACTCTGGGTCATGTTCACCACAGCACACCTAAAAAGTTTTCTAGTATATGTTTTTAAAAATGGCAAAATGAATGAAAAATGTCGTATCAGCCTGATTTATTTTAAGCAAAAACTAAGTTCTCTTATTACTAAGAAATGTGATACTTAAACCAGAAAACACTGTATGGAATGTACAAAGAGTTCAACTCACCCCAGAATCCTCGGCAATTAGGAGAGTTGAATTCAGTCAGGTGTGTTGCCACCCTGTGTTTTAGTGGAGGATTAAGTAACTGAATATTCTTATAACATCCTTATATGTGCTACGGATGTGTTTACAACTAGATAAGGACACAATTTCAACCTGCAGATGAGCAAGAAGTGTTTTGAAGTCAAATCACATTTTGTGTCCCTTAGGGAAATCGACTTGGTCAAGGAATTTGCTAAGTACCGGAGCTGGCAACTGCAAATCCAATTGTTTTACCGTGTGATGTGACCGCCCCCCCCCCGCCCCCCCGGAGAAAGGAAATACTTTCTTAACCACTATTTTGTTTTCTTCCAATGGTGTTTAGAGTTTTGAGAGGAAAAAACTATAGGCCGTTGAAGAAAAGCCTGTGTTGCCGCACAGTGGATCTTCCCCGAGGCCCTTGGGCGCAGAGGGCGGCGCTCCCTTCAGACCTGACGGCGACTCTAAAAAAGGCGAGCGAGCTCAAGGTTCACCTGTGAGGTGTTTATCGTTCAAAGATCAAAAGCACGGTTGTGTTTGATTTGAGCAGGTCATACAAAGCACCAGCACAACCTGCCTAAGGAAGGGCTCGGCGTTCACCTGCAATGTTGTGTCTTCAGTAAGGAGGTTAATAAAGGCGGCACTTGATCACAGAGGTACATAACTGGAAGGTACGGATTCTGTTTCTTTACCTTCTGCTACTTAACGTATTTCTTTACGTTTACCTGGTAAAAGTAGTTAAATAAAACAGATGAAGCACCTTTAAAAATTACGTTTTCATAAAAGAATAATACCAACTAGAATGTTTACGCTTTCATATCATATCACGACCCTGAGTAATTTCACAGTCACTCCTCCTCGGGCCTCCTCGGGCCACCCCGATGCTATGAGCCATCATGCAGGACGCTCCTGCTTTGCAGGTGCAGGCTGGCCGTTCGCACACAGGAAGAGGGGACGCCACTGCTGATCTCATCTTACAAACCCAACCGTACGGAGTGACAACTGGTGTAGCACCCTCTGCGCGTGGCCCCATTCATCCGCCGTGTAACAGATCACGTGAATTAAGGAGGTCCAGCAGAACATTAAGGAAAATGGTAACACTTACAAGCCGAGCACTTCTATTGCTGGTGTTAGCTGTGGTCTGAATACATTCTCATTTCTAGTTTGAACCACAGGCTTGTTTTTCTCTCATGAGTGTGAGTTTCAGTGTGGAAAAATATTTTTTCTTCACACAAAAATGTTTCATATGAAGAACAGAATTTCCAGAGAGATGATACAACCATCTTGGAAGCAGAGCAGGAAAATACACCAACCAAAAGACAAACACTGAAAAGGATTTAATATTTTTCTTTTGCTGAAGCCATAGTAAGCTAATATTTATGTGCAGACGGCGTTTAGACCCTGGTGTCAGAAAGGATAAACTAAGCACTGCTGCTGAGAGAGCTTTCCCACCAGAACATCCGCATGAGAACCAGCCCTGGAGACTCTTCTGCCCCCACTCACAGCGGGCTGTCCACGCAGCACCACAAACTACCAGCCCAAAGGGCGCCACGTAGACCATCACGAGCCAAGTAATTTCACTGTTACCGAGTCCACAAGGGGCCCGCGGCCGGCAGTCCTACCCAGGGAGCTGCTCAGAGCTCCGTCCCTGTGGTCGGAAGTCCCAGGCTCCAATCCTGGTGGGGCTCCTCCGTCTCTGCTGCACCACAGGGCCGGGACCTGAGCTGTTCCACCATCAGTAAGAAGGTACTGATCACCCCACCTGAGAGGGCTGCTGGAAGATTCCATTAATCAGTACACGAAACCCATTTAAAACAGTGACTGGACGTAGCAGGATTCAACAAGGGCCGGCAGGATCAGCCAGAAAAGTGGGGGGCGTCACAAGCCTCCTCGTTGAGAGGGTGACCTGAGGCGGAATCACAGATGGGAGACCGGGGCATCACCCCCAAGCACAGCAGGGCTGGGCTACAGGAAACTGCAGGCAGTCTGGGCTGGCTGACCCGTTTTATCCACTAGCTGCGGCAGTGGGCAGACCGAACCTGGACGAACAAATCCTCCCAGAAAAGCTGATGGAATCGAGGTCCCCAGCGGGATTTTGTCACCTCCAGTGCCTGGGCACTGGGCTGGATGAATGAACGGCTACAGCCCTGCCTGAGGGGACAGCAGGTGCAACAGATTTGCGCAAGGGACGTCACCTCAACCCGTCATGAGTAGGACTGCTCCGTTGCCACTAGGAACATCCCCCTAAGGCTGGGAGTCATCTCCCTAAGGCGGGGAGTCATCTCCCAAATGCACTTTCATCAGACAGTCAGAGGGACCGGCTGCATGGAAATGCCGGCATCCTGAGAGGACCCAATATCACCCACGTTTCCTTGAAATATTTGTGAGAACATTCTAAGAAACACCATGACGGTCACTTCCATTCACAATTAAATTTTCAGTGGAAATACTTAAAAAGCACATAGGAAGGGCTTCCCTGGTGGCGCAGTGCTTGAGAGTCCGCCTGCCGATGCAGGAGACGCGGGTTCGTGGAGGGGCCTGACCAGGAGAGACCCATGGGCTGCTGGGGACCTGGGGAAGGATGTCAGGACAGTCAGTGAAGCCACCGAGGATATACCTCCAGTAGTTCCTAATTCCTACACTCTGCTGGTCATTCTACCAACCACCAGGACATGGCATTTTGTATTAGTCTTCAATGGTGCCTTCTTTTGTCTTCCATTAGTCCCAGAGTCACAAGAAATTTTGGCTTGTGAGTGGAGGGGCCCCAAAAAACACAAAAAAAAAAAAAAAAAAAAAAAAAGCACATAGGAAAACAAGCATTGTGAGATGTCTAATTTGAATAAAAAATCCGCCCTGCCACCCTGATGCCTTGGAATTTCTAACAAATGTATTGCTAGGCTTTCATAAGGGAATAAGAAATGAGTTCTTTAGGCCAGAGAAACACACAAATCTGAAAGCAACTTTTCTGAGAATTTACAATAACTTAGAGTGTTAGTAACATTTTGAGAGTTTTTCCCAATCTAAATAAATCACACTCACTAACTTATTTGGGACACCAAGAAACAGATGCTCAGAACAAAGTGCACAGCTGAAGCATCATGTCTTTAAAAGAAAAAACAAATAGACAAAATTGGAAACATCTTTCATTACAGATGACAATGAAACAGAACACAAAGTGCTAATGTTAAGACATAAACCTTAAAAAAAAAAAAATGCATCTCAGTGGGCTTACCTTGCACCATGAGCAGGGGCTCCTTGCCCCCGCCGTGCGCCAGCATCTCCCGGCGGTAGCGCTCCCCCGCCGCCCTGGGGACAAGAGGACTGTCACTGGAGCCTGCACGCGCCCACCCACACCCGCCTGAGTCCCCCAAATGAAGCCACACTGATATCAAATTCAGAAAAGCTGCCACTCATTATCTTCTGGCTTCTAAAAATCTCATTCCGATTTTTAACCTACTCTACGAAGTCAGACCAGTGGTGATATATTTACTGTAACAGCAAGCCTGATCTTTCTAGAAAGGGTTGCTTAGTTTATGTGGTACAGAACAAGCAGAAAATCATACCCCATTCTCTTCTCCATCATCTGTAATAGGATTATTCTAAAGTGAGATGTGAAGTCATTTATGCTCTTCTCTCAAAAAAGAATTTGAAATGGCACCCAACAGAGAGAAAAGTAACACTCTGACCTAGAGTAAAGTCAGAACAGCTGTCAGGAGAGGGTTCGTTACACCAGGAAGCCCTGGCTAAGGATAACAGAGAACACTTCCACTCCGCGCTGCTCTTCACCAGCTGGATTCAATAAGGAACAGTGTCCCTGACACTCGAAGCGGGGCAGACAGAAATCCTCTAAATTAATGGCTGCTCTCTTTTTAAATAGAAAATGCAATTCCTTTAATGCAAATAACTGAAGTTAAATAAAGTACGTTTTCATTCCACTGTTTCTGGAGGATCTTTACGTGGGCAATTTTGCGAACATGGTCTCTAATCGGAAATGTTGCCAGCACTTCACTCTCAGCAACAGGATGACATCAAACGCTCCTCTCGGCTCCACCCTGAAGGGAGCACTGAGGCCCCACGGCCCCGGAGGCAGGGGGCGTGCCCAGGGCAGCTGAGAGGCCCCGCCTGGCCTTGGCTTTGCTGCTTCCAACCGGGAGACTTCTCAGAACTGGGATCAAAAAGGATCTTTTGGTAGAGGTTAGAAATTTTCTAGTCCACTGAGTATTTTTACTAGCTTACTTTTTTACATGCCCATAAACGTATAGCAACTGCATGTCTAGGGAAGAATGCATACATAAACAAGATATAAATACTGGGGAATACATGTATATAAAAGTATGTGGTTTTCTAGTAAAGTGTGATTCCTTTAAACAAGATAGTACTTTGCCTATTTTACAGAAATCTTCAGTAAAGAATTATAATGCCCAGAATTGATTTATGGTACTCAATTTTGGCTTCAGAGCCTTTGAAAATAATAAAAATTTAAAAAGCAGACCAAATGTCTACAGTGTGCAGAGGGTGGAAGACACAATAGCATGTGGGTACCAAGCTGTAAAACGTTTAAAAATTCTATTACATCAGACTCAAGTTGAAAAAATCCTGGAATTGAATGCAATGATTAACTGCCGAGAAAACCCGAGCCTTTGCCAACGACATGAAGAGCTGAGGGGTCAGGTGGGGGAGGAGGGCCTGGGAATCAGCAGACCCGGTTCCCATCTGAGTCCAGCTGGTTTGGTGTGAAGCCCCGAACGAATCACCCCCTCTGAGCCTCGGTTTCCTCTATGAAAACTCCTGCTCCGCCAAGGCTGCTGGGGCTGACGTAATAACCTGCGTGGGAAACTCGAGGGCGCTCCCGGCATCTAAGGGGCCACGGGCCTAAACCTGCGCAGTGAGGCCTCCTGACCGTGCGACCTGTGTGGTGCAGACAGACCACTCTGAACAACTGTGAGACCAGGTCTCAATTGGTGCTCTGCTTTCCAAGGAAGCTCCTTCTAAGAACCCATGGAACCAGAAGCTGGCTTCCCCAGGCTCCCGCTGGGGAGGGGGCCCCGGCACACAGCAGCCCCAGCGTCCTGCGGGGATGCAGCAGGCCATGAAACCCCGTCTTTTTACCTGTTAAACGGATCCCGGAGAAAGCACTCCCTCCAGACCATGGACGCCACTGCCCTGGACACCAGATACGAGTAGTATTTGGCACCGTAGCTCACGAGGTGGCTGAAGCGCAGCTGCCAGGCCTGCCGGACAGAAAGGGCACAGGAGGCGGTGAGGCTGCATCCAGACGCCGTGTGGGCCCAGCGGAGGGAGGCACACAGGAACCCGCAGACGTGCCCATTACGGGGCACCCTAGGGGGCCTCCCTCACGGGTGGTCACTTTCCACATGGTGCACACTGTGAGGACTGCAATGAGTGCCCTCAAAACCCTCATGCCGAGCCCTGATCCCCAGGACCTCGGAGTGAGACTGTTTGTGGAGACGGGCCTCTAGAGAGGTGACGGAGGTAAAACGAGGCTGCCGGGGCGGCCCCAGGCGACCGGGGCTGGGTACGTAGGTCCTCGTGCGACAGGGGAGACCACGCCAGGATGGGGCAGGAAGGCGGCCTCAGCAGAACCAACCCTGACACCGGACTGTTCTGTACAGGTTCACTGCCCCTGGACTCGTGCCAGGCGGAAACAGAGGGAGGATGCCCAGACACACGGCGTAGCGTCAGCAACGGGGCAGCACACGTGTCCCACGATTCCAGCCTGCTGGGAAGCCTGGCCACTGGGTCGGGAGAGGGCGCTCTGGCCTGGCACCGGGTGCCGTTCTTTTTGAGGACAGTGACGTTGTTACTGTAAGAAAGGCCACGTGAGTTCCCAGGGAAGAATACCCTTCCACTGGAAAACTCTTTTCCTGCAAATACTGTTCTTTTTCTGGACCTACAAGCTGAAAACAAGTAGGTTCTGGGTGGTCAGTAGGAAGAGGGTTATCCAAGTGCAAGGGCATAAGCTGCCCACAGCACAGTCATGGCACCACTGCTAGAAAAGCCAGAATTACAGAAGCCATCCTCAAATGACACAGTTGTAACTTAAAAATTTTTACTGACATGCAGTAACACTCTGCTGTCCTTTCATGTGTGCTTTAGCTGACGGTAAAGTTTTTAGGAAAAATAACTGAAGCCTAAGTTTTTAAACTAAGGTAAATCATTATCTAATAAATCTTTTCACCCCCTGTAAAATAAAGTATAAAGTTTAATCAACACCACAAATGTTTAACTACCTAACTGATCAAGCCACAAACTACAAGCGAACAGACAGTTCCCTGCTGACGGCAGGGCGGCGGATCTGAGGACACCTCGAAGTCCCCCACGTGGCACACAGGGGCCCGGTGCTCTGAGTGGCGTCCAGCACCTCACGACAGGCGCTCGGCCTGGGCTGGGCATAGGGCAGGCCGGCCAGCTCTCAAGCTAGAGCTGGAACAGGAGGAGGTCTGGCGGAGGGAACGGGAACCCTCGGGATCCACCCTCCCCTTCCAACCAGGATGCGACTGGAAGCAAGGGGGGGCTCGCGAGCTGTGTCCCTCTGTCTGTGTGGGACACCTCGCCCGGCCCTCTGTGAAGGCGAGACCCCAGGGGTGGGGCACCACAACCCAGGGCAGTGGTGCCCAACTCCACACGGCCACCGCTGGTGCTGGGTGGTACACTCGCAAGGCTGTCACAGTAACCAGACCCCCAGGCACAGGTGCCGGCACCCGGCAGAGCAGAGGTGCCGAGGCCTGGCAGCTTGCCCGGCAGGATCCACACCTGGGATACCTGGACACAGAGAGTCCACGGCGTCTGCCTCCCACCAGCCTCCCACCTGGACAGAGCTACTCAGGCATGGCGCACACCTTGCTGTCTTGTTCTTAAATTACAGATTTCCATACCTCAAGACATGCTAAATAAATTATACCACCTGACACCTTTCAGCAGCGGTCTGTAAGTTTACGGCACACTAAGACCTACAGTCCCATTGCTGTTTGACCACAAATAGCTGAACTCCTGATAATTCAGCCTAATGTTAAGTGCTTGTTACCACTTCACTCATTCACCTGGAAAAATAAAAGACAGTGACTCGTTTTAAGCTCCGGAATTCCGCTGTCCTCTTCCTTTATCCCCAGGTTTCCTTCTTCCGAAAGGAACCTTTGCCAGATGAACAAGGTTTCACCCATCCTCTGAAGCGCAAGGTGAGGATCTGGTCTTAAGAACAAAGGACTCGGAAGCCTTTGCAGTTTCTCTTTTGTTCTGACTAGAGGTGGGAACCGTCCCATCCTCACACGAGCCCTCCATCTGTCTGTCTTGAGTTCGACAATCTCGGCGATCCGCACTTCAGACAAAGCCTTGGAGCGGGAGTGGCAGCGCGGCGGGGACCCCGTGAGCACAGCCGCCAGCTGGAGCCCTGGGCGGGAGGCCCTCCAGGGATCCCTACCTGCTACAGCCCCCTTCTTACCCATGACAGTCATCTGTCCAAATCAGAGACGGGCCCAGGAATGGAAAGGAGCAAAGTAGCCAGTCACTTACACCTGGTTTCAGTTTCAGACCTAGATGAGGGACTCGTGCAGAGCCAGCACCCAATAACTTACATGTTAGGAGTGACCGAGCTAATCGTTGCTATTATCCTCTCAAACGGCACATCATTTCTCCACTTCCAGTTACACATGTATAAGTACATTTAACTAACATTTTAAAACAATCTTATTACTAGAATATTAAACCACCGCATGAGAACAGAAACAACATCACTGCTTTCCTGGTTTGGGTCACACAGGACTGAAATTTCCTTAAGAGCAAGGTCCACGAGGCTGTGCCTGTGTCCAGATTCAGCACGGGGCCTGGAGCACAACAGGAACTCAGCAGCTGTGCTGGATGGGTGGATGGACAGGTGGACAGACGGATGGACACTACAGGATTCTGTCACAGGGATGCTCCGTGTTCCCGACAGACTGGACTCTGGACTGAGATGAGGACTAACATCCAGATCACAAGCAAGAGGACATCACAGTGCTACAAACACATTTTGGATCTCAGGCTATTAGTTTTTTTTTTTTTTTTTAAAGAATTCTTTGACTACATTATATGACAGTTAAGGCTTCTGAGGCTAGTTTTGGCATCAAATGTACGGCATCTGTGTGGCGTTTCCTCCTGTGTGACTCAATCTCCATCAAGCTTCACAGACTCTAAACAAGCCGTGGGCCAGCAGTACCACACAGGCTTCATGGTGCAGCTGCTGTAATAGGACTAAAGGAGAGCAAGACAGAAAGCAGCAAGCTCCTGAGCTAGGCCAGGCTCTGTGGGCAGACCACCGGGCATTTCACATTCTCCGAGTACTTGTGGATTATGTCCTGTGACACCCAGCCTTGGGCACGCAGCAGTGTCCACGTAGCCACAGTGGTGAGCGGGAGACCCCCCCCCCCACCGCCTTCTCAGGTCTGCGCTCTCATCTCTGTCGATGTTTCCATGAATACAGACTAGTACTTCTAATTTGATAAAAAGTCCCCACTGACGTTTTACCAAAACCCACGGAACAACAATGCCAAACAAACAGGAATTCTCAGTTTGGAATAAAACTGAGAATTTATTTTAGATGAAACACAGCCGTCGTGGTGGGCACACTCTCAGGCGGCCTCCGTGGATGCCGGTGTGAAATCTCCTCACCGTGAGTGTGGGCGGGACCAGAGCCTTGCTTCCGACACCAGAACTGGGGAAGGAGGCGGGATGTCACAGCCACAGCGAGTTACTTACGTGAGACGTCTACCAGGCTGCAGACCTGCTGCAGAAACCCTCCTGCTTCCCGAGGTCAGTGGCACTGGTGGGAAAGCCCACCAGCAGGGAGCCTGTGGGACCTGGGCGTGGCCTCCGGGGCCCAGGGTGTCCAACAGCGGACAGGCAGCAGGAAGCTGGGCACCTCCATCCTACAAGTGCACAGATAAGAATTCTGCCGAGCGACTTCCCTGGTGGCGCAGTGGTTAAGAATCCGCCTGCCGATGCAGGGGACACGGGTTCGAGCCCTGGTCCGGGAAGATCCCACATGCCGTGGAGCAGCTAAGCCCGTGTGCCACAACTACTGAGCCTGCGCTCTAGAGCCCGCGAGCCACAACTCCTGAGCCCGCGTGCCTAGAGCCTGTGCACTGCAGTGAAGAGTAGCCCCGCTCGCCGCAACTAGAGGAAGCCCACACGCAGCAATGAAGACCCGACGCAGCCAAAGATAAATAATTCAAATAAATAAACAATTAAAAAAGAAAGAAAAAATTCTGCCGAGAACCCAGGTGAAGCAGCCAAGCCCCCAGGTGAGCCGTGGGCCCGGCCAACACCCCGACTGCAGCCTTGTGGGGGGCCGAGCACGAGGCGCGGCCTCCTGACCCGCGGGGGCCCGTGAGCTGTGTGCTGCTGCAGCCACTAGGCGCGCGGTAATTTGTCCCATGGCAATAGAAACTAACACCGTTATCTATTTCAACACGAGAGCTGTGTCCAGAAGTACTAACAAGAGAAGTAAATGGAAAATATGGAAGGGCACCTATATTTATTAAATGTATACCCGTGTCTTCGTGGATATCTTTTGAGGAAGGTATTCCTACAAATGCTTCACAATTTTCAGTAAATATTTTACAACAGACTCAAAAGCGTAATTTGGTCAAGGCTGCCGGCAGAGACTGCCCAGTACCCCTCGTCCGTTCAGAAACAGAACTGCCCCTCTGCCACTCAGCTGGAGCAAGGCCTGTGGCCACTGTTCTCCAGGCCTCCTCTGGGCTCAGGGTGGCTGTGCCCCTACTTCCTGCAACCCGATGTGAATGGAGATAACATACTTCCCAGGTGCTTCAAAAGAAAGCTGCTCACGCCCTTGACCTCCTTCCCCTTCCTGCTACCCTTAAAGAAGTGAGAACCGGACCCACACCTGAGACTCAGAGAAGCCACATGCGGAGGAGCCGCCAGCCCACCGGCCCTACCTGCTCAGCTCTGCCTTGCTGGGCAGGAGGAAAGGAGCTTCAAATCCTACTTACATCACTGTATTTGGGGGGTCTCTGTCACAGCAACTTTTACCCTGTACACCAACAGACGATCACACAGGATTCAGAGCCGGCTGTCTTTCTGGGGGTTTTTTGGGTTTTTTTTTTTTTTAGCAGTACGCGGGCCTCTCACTGCTGTGGCCTCTCCCGTTGCAGAGCACAGGCTCCGGACGCGCAGGCTCAGCGGCCATGGCTCACGGGCCCAGCTGCTCCACGGC